TTGGAAAGGTAAATTGCAACTTGGAAAGTGCTAAACCATATATGACATTGTTACTCAACACACTCCACTGAACTGCAATGGAAGTCAAGTCTCACTTTTTTGACCCATATTTCATAAAAACTCAATAAAAATGGGTAACCAGTTAATATGTAGAATTCTGTACCAGGTCAAAGAAGTGGCAGCAAACTTGAAGAAACCAATCCTCCTAAATCTTAAGACAAACCGTATTTCCTTTGAAGTTTTGTCCTCAGGTATAATCTCATTCAAGAGTCTTTATTTCAGACGTAAAATACAGTGATACTAAATTCATGTCTGAAAAATTTTTTTATTTGCCCAAGATTAAAAACTTTTTTAACCATTAAAGGAAATAAGTATTTTTTTTCATTTTATTCCTTATTTTGAGGATATAGTTTAATGGTGAGSATGGTGGTGAGACAAATGGAAGTACCAGACCACAGGCCATTGGTTTGACCAACCACATAATTTCTGTTCAGTGTCTTAAGAATGGTAAAAAAAGGCTAACAGGGAGAGTATGTGAATCCTCTGTCAAATGACATCTTTAATCAATGTTTTCTTTAAGGAGTGTGATCTGATTCAAGYGAGAATTAATTCATGGCAATGCTGTGCTTCTTTTTACACAGAAGGTCAGACTAAAATTCACCATGACCTCCTTCACATTTGTAATTACTACTCTATTAATCTTTAGATACAAAGCTAAGAAGCTWAATGGGTTTAAACAATCCTAAGGCTCTCTACCCATGAGCTGGACTTCCTCTGCCTCAAAAAAGTCAACCCACTACAGATGTGCAAGAAGATATTTTCTGACACTGCTCATTGGAATAGGAAAACAATAGAAAAAAATATTTTAATTTATTCTTTTAATTTATTACATGCTGCTACCTCAGGATATCTAGCAGAAAAACATTGTGTGTCTATATAAATATACATATACATATATATACATATATATGTTATTCAATCTCTACATTCATGGGGCTCCTTGACTCAGTTATAAAATAAAGTGTTCCTACCACTGTCATATAATAAAATAGTTCGTTAAATAGTGTAAGGAATACATCCTCASACATTCAGAAAACACAGMCATGTTTCAGCAGCAATCAAACTAMAATTAAYTCTGAAAAGCAGAGTYGCACTAGAAAAGCAGATGCAATAAATAATTAAGGTGTGTTTTTACTATAAAGCCCAATATCATATTGCTCCAATATACAAAAATATGAAAGAAATCTTTTTTAAAAATGAATGCAGATGCTCTGCTGCAAAGAAAGGAAACAACACAACAAGGTCTAGAACCCAGACTATTAAATTAATACATAAACTCAGCTTGCTTACAGAAAGAGTAAGTGAAGTTTACTAAAGGGAGGTTAAAGTAAAGTTACCCAAAGAAAGGCCAGGAAAGTGAACAGATTTAGCATTTTCAACTTTCAAAACTCGGACTCTGGGTTATATAGGGATTTATCACGGAATCACAGMATCTCCTGAGCAGGAAGGGACCCACAAGGATCATCAACTCCCGGCCTTGCAGAAGCACCCCAACAATCCCACCCTGTGCATCCCTGAGAGCGTTTTCCAAACACTCCTGGAGCTCTGGCAGCTTTGGGCCGTGCCCATTCCCTGGGGAGCTGTTCAGTGCCCAGACACCCTCTGGAAGAAGAACTTTTTCCTAAAATCCAACCTAAACTTATCCTGACACAGCTMCAGCCCTCTCCTTGGTCCTGTCCCTGGTCACTGAGAGCAGAGTTCAGAGCTGCCCCTCTGCTGTCCCTCAGGAGGAGCTGCAGCCCYTGAGAGGCAGAAGTCTCTYGGAAGCTGCCAGAGGGAGAAAAGGCCCTTCAGGCTGGTCTGAATTTTGATAAAAACTTTTTAAGAGAGTTAAGGAGCAAAACACCACGTAGAAAAAGTGGAAACTTCATCAGAAACACAGAGCTGCTTCATGGACTACAATGCAGAGACCGAATCTATCAACAAAGGGAGGCATAGAAAAGCACCACCTCAGCATTCAGGCACAAAATCAGAGAGGCCAAAGCAGGAATTCAAACCAGCTGGGGCCATAAATGGCAATAAGAAATGAATCCACAAAAATTACAGGAGTAAAAAACAAGGTCAGAAAGAATCAAGGTGCATYGATGAATACAGAAGACAGCCTACAAGTGTGTACAGAAAAGACTGAAGTCCTCAAAACCTCTTTTGTACAAGCCTCCCCAAACAACTGCTTCAAAACCTCTCCAGGCACCGGTACAGTCAGAAAGAAAAGTAGCAAACAATGTGAGGAAAAATGGGTTATGGCTACTTAAAGAAGCTAAATGTGCTTAAATCCAAGGAGTCATGAGGAGCTTTTCCAGAGCTGGAAGGCAAGTTTGCTGGCGTGGCCATCAGAACACTGTGACAGATCAGAAATAATGAAAAACCACAGTGATTGGGGATCTCTGATGATGATTTTTTGAGCTACAGTAACAGCCATTTTTAAGAAAGGAAAAAAAATTGAGGTGATATAGGATGCTCAGCTTCAGTTCAGCCCCAGGAGAGATGACGGAGTGTGTCCTCTTAGAAATTATTTCCAAACAGAGGGAACAAGAAAGTAATCAGGAATAACCAACATATTTACCAAAGGAAAAYTGAGCTTGATCAGCTGAGCTGCCTTTTTAGGCTGAAATGATGGCTCTGCAGATGAAGGCAGAGCAGTGGCTGTAGCCTATGTTGACTTCAGCAGGGCTCTGACACTCTGTCCTACAGCACTTGCTGTGGAAGCTGAGAAAGTCCTGGCTGGAGAAACAGCCTGCACATCAAAAATCAGCAGGACCAGCAGCCTMTGAAGGCAGGGATCAATACCTTGATGTCTGGTGTGCAGCAGGTGACCCCAGGGGCTGCTGCTGGGGCCAGAATCATTCAATATCTGAAACAGCAACATGAGTGATGTGACAGAAAACATGCWCAGCAAATCTGAGGGCAGCGTTAAACACACAGCGAGAACGGGCACGACAAACAGCAGAGATTTATCTGAGGAGACCTGGAAAAATTCCAGCTCTACACCAACAGAAACCTCAGGGAGGTCAACAAAAAGAGCAAGATGATCTCAGAGCTGCTGGGAAGGAGCTGTGGTCCTGTAGATGCCAGGTTCAATGTGCTCTCAGTGCAGAGAAAGCAAACTGTGACTCTGGACAACAGAATTAGGAAAAATCCCTCTTTTCTATGCTGTACTGGCAAGAATTCACCTGTAATACCAGGCCCAAATCTGATTAATTCAGAAGAGACATTAACAACACAGCAAAGGTCTCAAGGGTTAATAGCTGAGTTGATCATCAACCTCAAATTTTGGCTGCCATTCTTTCTTTAACAATTTACATCTTATTTTGACAGTTCACTGGAGGTCCATACTGTTACTAAACACATTACACCACATTTAGTCATTGAAAAACATTTTTAAAATTTGTATGCTTTTTGTACAGCAGCACTGAATTATTCTACCTGTGCAGTTACTCAGCATAAAATGGTGKCAGTGTGTCTTCTGCCCAGTCTTTGGGGCAGTGGAAGTACCACTTTAACCCAGATAATGTGTTACTCTTGGTGTTATCTCTATAAACACACATGGCTTTATATGGCACAAACCCCACCTATGCACCCCCACTTTGAGACTGTTTACTCCACATCACACAAAATATTCTCCCTGCTACTTTTAATTTCACCACTACCTTCAGCTTTTTGCCAAGTATTTCTACAATGCAAGATTTTATTGTCTTGAACACTGGCTTATACCATCACCCATTTACAATTCTTCCAGCAGCACTTAGGCACTTAATGTGTTTAAATATTCATTTTATGCTCTAAATTTGCATGCTTTGTTAGGGTCCATAGGAGTCTGGAGCAAAGATACATTCAAATAACACCATGAGTTCAATGAATACCTTACATATGTATTATCACATACATGAGCTAGAGCACCTTAGTGTCACTAAAATTCCTACTGAACAGCACTGACAGTCGTCTTGGAATGCTTTCAGTCCCTATGACAGCTGTCAGAAACTAAATTTCTTCATTCTGGGTTGCTACTTTGCTTACCTGACAGCACACACCTACTGGAACAAAATCACAGGAAGAATCAGTAGGAATTTAAAAAYACTTCTCAAACAGAATTACAGAATAGTTTGGGTCAAAAGGAGCCTTAAAGCTCATCCAGTCCCACTCCCTGCCATGGGCAGGGACACCTTTCACTATCCCAGGCTGCTCCAATCCCCATCCAGCCTGGCCTTGAACACTTCCAGGGATCCAGGGGCAGCCACAGCTTCTCTGGGCACCCTGTGCCAGGGCCTCTCAACCCTCATAGGGAAGAATTTCTCTCTAGAACACCCAAAGAAAATACACCACATGTTATGCTTTTACGTATTATTATTATTATTCAACAAAAAAACTAATGGCTAGAAAAATCTGTTGAAAACCCTACTGCTGCCTCCAGTAAGAATTAAACAGAAAACTCGTATATGCTCAAGAGAAATTATAGAAAATAATCACAGGATGGCTTGGGTGGAACGGATCTTTCTGCTTATCCAGTTCCAACCCCCCTGCCGTGTGCAGGGACACTTTCCACTATCCCAGGTTGCTCCAAGCCCCGTCCAACCTGGCCCTGAACACTTCCCCTGAACACGGGGCAGCCACAGCTTCTCTGGGCAAACACAAGGCCGCGCTCGCTGGCTGCTCCAACAACCCGTCAATCAAAAACAAATCACAGCGCGAGTAAATCACGACACAAACTCCTTCAAGGGACATTCACCCCCCCCGTCCCTGTCCCCAGCCACCCTTCCACAGGACGCGCCCCCGGCCGCCATGTTCCTTCCCCGCCCCTCAGCGCGCACGCGCCGCAGCGGCCCCGCCCCCGCCGCGAGGGCACCGCGCACGCGCAGCGCAGGGCGGGGGAAGGGGCGCGCGGCTGAGGCGGCGGCGGCGGGGCGGGAATAGGGAAAGGGAAGGGTAAGGGAGTCAGCCCCTACCTGGCACCGCCATGCCCTGGGTTCTTCCGGGCAGCGCTTCGCTCGCCTGCGGCAGGCGGGAGTTTGAGTCGCCCATGCTGGAGGCGGAGCCGTGGAGGGCGCGGAGGAAGAGCAGGAGGTGGCGGTGGCGCGGCGGCATCGCCCGCTGAGGGGGTGAGGGAGCCCCGGGGAGGGAGGGAGGGGCGGGGAGAGCGCCCCCTGCCGGGCGGCGGCGAAAGCGCGATTCCGCTCCGCTGCCTCGGGGGTCCTTCAAGGGCACCCCCTGAGTGCCCTCCGTGATCTTTATCCTAAAATATCCCTTCCCATGGGCTCTGCCCGCTGCGCCGTGTTCCTGCAAGTATCTCTTCGGAATGCTGCTTGCTCAGAAGTCTGCCCGTGGTGTTGTTCCCAATGCTTTGGGAACCCTCATGTGGTCCATATTGCACCCACCTCATGTCCTCACCCGTGTCACATCCACCCTCCGGCTTGTGGTCCCGGTTTTACAGGGGATTTTGCCCACACATTTAGGAAAACAGGCTATACATGCCTTTCATGCAGTAAWGTGCTTTATTTGTACAGTAATCACAGAATGGTTTGGGTTGGAAGGGATACTTAAGCTTATCTCATTCCAATCCCAAATAATACATGAATTTAATTTTTTTTCCGTAGCCTTTCTAGTTGTTGATTCACACTRCACTCTCYTGTGTTATGYTTAGCCAATRTACTGTATCATCCCRATTTTGCWGAGTGWTTTTTCARYGAAGATTCTTCAAGTAACATCTCCAGGAAGAGGTATCTGCACCTATGTTTGCAATAAAAATACAAGAAAAAAACAAGAAGTGAGCAGAGTGTGAGTGCTTGTGGAATATACTCGCTGTGGTTCTGGGGGTAGTACAGCATGTAGTCATACAATCACAGAATGATTTGSGTTGAAAGGGACCTTAAAGTTCATCTYGTTCCAGGGACACCTTCCACTGGATTATACAAAGGATGTGAYGTTAATTTACTGAAAAATTCTTTTGGTTGATTGTGAAAAAGTTGTTGGCTAAATAGAGAAAAGATGGTAAAACAGCAGACTAATGCCTAGTCTGAGAGGAAGGTCAGCTGATTTTCTAAAAAATTGTCAATGACAGATGCAGTTCMATTCAGTTCATAATCAAGCCAGGTCTTACTTGGATACAATATTCTTGAGGCCTAGAATTGAATTCATGTTTATAAAGGCATTGGGTATTTACAGCAATATTGAGAATTTCCAAGTACTCCTAAAAGAATCTAGAGGAGAAGGGAAATCATTTTAGGAGTCATGCTTTCTTCAAAATTAAAAATTCAGATGAGAACCTGAGAGACAAACTGTCCCACCTCTGCTTTCAGGTTCTGTGTTCTGTGTTTGAAAGGTGAGCAACACCCTCTTAGAGCACAGGTAGTTCCAAGATTGCAGTCAATTTTTCAAGTTTTGTTAAGTTGAACAAAATTCCTAACTAGTGATAATTAGAATTTTTGAGGTCAGGACCGGAGAGGACTTCAGGTGAYCTCAAAAAAAGTCTTCTAATAAYTTGGAGAAAATTCACTGAATARTGARTGAATGTAGAGATGCRTRTGATAAATAACTGTTATTTTGGCASCATAAGTTAGAGAACCAGAAATTCTTGATAATGAAGTGTGAATTTTATTAAAACATRTTCACTAATTAATTGTTCTCTCATTATGGTCGCACTGTCATTTCCCAGTTCTTTCTTTGTAAGAAACCACTAARGATTATGACATCCACTGGTTTTGTATTGGCCATCTCTTCACTTTTATCACACCTATCTGCCAACAACGTGTTCTCAAAAAATGCATTGCTCAGTCACGATGGGTGGCAATGGAATTTTCCCCTAGGAATTAATGTCTCCATCTGTGAGCCTGAATTTTCTTTCTGCCTTGTCATGACCATTTTTTATTTCATTGCCACCTTCCCTGCATGAACTGAGGGCCACCAGCGTTGAAGGACAGAAAAATTGGCTCATGTTTGGTTGTTCAGCCTCACAGGTGAAGGGGCTGAGATCTTCTAGAGCCCTGATGTACTCCAAAATTCCAAAATGCTTTACCATCCTCCATGCTGAACGTGCTGTCCATGGGTGTTTATACTCAGTGTATCCCTTAAATCATGGGTGCCCTTTCCAGTGCATTAATTCCTCCAGGAAAAACTGCTTTGTCACCCATCACATCGAGCAGCTTCCTTCCTGAGGCTGAAAACAGCAGAGGGTTGGGATCCAGAGCAGTGACATGATGCTRCTGATGCTGGAAAATTACAGCTTTTGGGGGCAGAAATSAKCCTGGCATTCCCTGTTTGTGTGRCACTTCACACACYGTGTCCCTGCYTTGTCACTGAATCCAAAGTATTAARTGGTAAYAAGCCATYGTGCCACTTAACAAATAAAAACTGATTTTCACAAGGGTTTAGTGCTTGTTGGCTCCATGGAAACAGAAGACTGTTTAAATTTGATAAATCCCRCTTTTATTTCAGGAAAGTGTGGGCTATCCCCTCCTCTTGTTCCAGAGGGTRAGGTCTGGGTGAGAGACTCTGAAAATTACACTCTAACTTTATTTAAAGTTTTCKCTTTTTTTTTAACCTCTCCAACCAAGCAGTAGAACATGATTATTTTTTTATTTATGGTCTATTATGCTTCACACTTGAACATAGACRTTCTATGTACTAACACAGTGAATTAAGAAATACATCAAGAAAAAAGCCTGGATTATGGCACMTACACAGTGCTTGCATTCCCATGTAATTATCGCAGTATTCCCAGCACAGCAATTTTATGGCAGATGCTAAAAATTTCCCATGAAGGTGGAAAAAGAGAGGAGAGAGAGAAAGCAGGAAGAAAAGGGATGCGGGCTTACCTCTCACCTTTCAGTCAGGGCTTTGCACACATTCCTACTCATCCAATCCTAGGAACTTGCTCAAAACAGACACTGTTTTTCCCCAGGACCTGCCATTTTCCTATACATAATCCGTCAGAGTTAAATTTCCTAGTCTTTGTGGTTTGGGACAGATGTGTTTTTCCCATGTAACAAAATCTGCCGTATCTCGAAACWGATAAAGCCCTGTGTGGTCATCTCCGTGGAAATACAGGGATTGGGAGTGCAGGTTTGTGCCGCAGTGTGCATCTCCTGGAAAAGCAATCTTTTTTATCTGAAAACATGCAGTGAAAGAAGATCCTCCACAGGCTTTAGTGGATTATTCAGTGCTTGATTACTGTTAAAAATATGCAGCTTATTTTTAGGTTGGCTTCAGCTCCCACCCGTCACAGCTTAGCTTATCTTCCCTGGAATGAAGCGATTGCTTTTATCCAGGTTTTGTTATCCAGACTTAGCGCTGCAGGCTGCGGTCATCCCTCAAGACAAGATAAACAGGACTCTGGGAGTTCATCACAGTCAAGGATGTTTTCTAATTCTCTCRAGTCATTGCACGTCTCTGGACGCTTTCCAGGTTTTCAAGTGACGTATTTCCTGATTTTTTTTTTTCATTCTTTGATGAAGATGTGAGTAAGGAATCCAGCAGTCTGCTGCTCAGACCAAGCAAGTGCCAGTGTAAACTGGTATCTTGATTCCCTGTTGGGTGCTCATTCATCTGTCCAAGGGCAGTGTTAGACTTTCCAGCCTCACAGATGCATTGCCGTGACTTCTTGAGGGATCCCAAAGGAAATTATTACCAAAGTATAAAAATATAATGTTGATTATGGCAGATATGTAAAAAATCGAGTTGTCACCGTTTAAAACACTAATCTAGACTTGCTCCAGTCCCTTGTCTTTGTTGCTGTTGCTCCTGCAGGCTCTGCTCAGGTGCTGACAGAAATTTCCCCAGTTCTCCAGAATTGATAAAAAATGTCAAATAATGAATCAGAGAATAAAAAAAATATCCTGAGTCAGAAGGGATTCAACAAGGATCATCAAGTCCAACTCCTGGCCCTGCAGAGGACACCCCAACAATCCCATTACAGATGGAGCMTTGTCCAAACGCTCCTGGAGCTCTGGCAGCTGTGGGCCTGTGACCATTCCCTGGGGAATCTGCTCAGTGCCCAAACACCCAGYGGGGGCAAGAACCTAAAGCCCCAACAGGGGAAGATGGTGCCCAGGGTGTGCTCAGGGCTGTTTTGGGCAGGAGCCGTGTCTGTGTGTTCAGCATGGCCCCGTCTGTCCCGGCTCCCCCCACAAAGGGCTGCTTCCCCTGGGGAAGGGCCTGGGTCAGTCCCTTTCCAGGAATGCCTGCACTGCTGGCAGGCACTCAGGCCTGGGGACACCTTGGTGTCCTTTGGGGCTTGGTGGCTCTGATTTGGGGCTTAGTGACACTTTTGCACCTCTTGGGTGCCATTTCCTGGGGCCCTCTGCACTCTCCCCATTCCATGCAGACACAGATGGGTCATGGATGAAATTGTTTCAATGGAAAAACAGAACAGTGAACTTCTTCTACATTTTCATCTTCATCAACAAATACATCTTCATTTGTATCTTCATCTACATCTTCATCTACATCTACAGCTATAACATCAAAAACACCCTGTCCCCATCCCCGAACGATGGGAGGCTTAAAAAGGCCTAATTCTATATCTCTGCTCCACCTCTGCCTGCAGGAGCCTTGTGCTTGCTGTCAGCTCTGRGCAGAGGGTCCTTCTTTCTCTTCTTCCCTCACCTTTTCAGCCCAAGGCCAGGTGCAAACACCCCAGCTGCACTGAGGTGGTGTCAGCTCTGTCCCTGCATCCTGTGATGCCTCCTGATGTTTCCTGCCAGTGGTGSTGCCATGCTCTGTGCTCAGGACAACTTTGGAATGGTGTTCAGTGAGTGGCACCTTCCCAGACCCCCAGAGCTGGGTGATCTTGTGCTGGGGGCTGGTGCCATTGGTGCCTGCAGAATCCATGGGCATGGGGACACTGCTGGCATCGCCCTGACTGGTCCTGGCCTTCAGGGAGCAATTCAAGAGCTTCCACCTCTTGCTGCTGCCTCGGGTCACCACAGGGTCCCTGATGGCTTGGACACGTGTGGCAGAGTGGCTGGGGCTGATGTCCTTGGGTAGTGCAGTGTTACCCAGGGCTGGTGTCCTTGTCCATGGGGACATGGCTGGCCACGGTGGTGTCACTCCATGGCGAGGTGTCTTCATCCACAGGAGCAGGACTGTCAAGGGTGATGTCACCACCTGGGAGAGTGTCCTCATCCATTGGCACAT